GCCTTCCCTTGCCTGAGTGACCAGGCAAAGTGACAAAACTGCCATAAAATCTACTCCCTGCAGCTGCCCAATGGGAGGAAAAATCTGTAGCTGACAGGGCTATTAGAAAATCAAAAGCAAGTGCCCAGGAGGGGAAACTACATAGAATGTATCCAGGAAATCATTATTTGGGAAGATGGGGTTGTTGTTGGTAGTGATTTTTGTCAAGGCCTAGATTCTGATGCTGGTTTCCTGGTGCCCTTATCTTACACCTATCAATGCAACTTGCCTCTGCCTCTGGGTACCTATTAAACCCTTTGTCACCCCTCCTCATGATAATGGGGCAGCACTGAAATACAACAGACCTCCCCCAAACCTAGACTTAAGCCGGGATGATGGATGGAATCCTCAAGCTTTAAGGAGAAAAGAAAACTGATAGCTGCCCTGAACTCCTTTTCTCTCTATGCCTAGTTGCTTCATTTCCTGTCTGGGCATAATTGCTCCTCTTTACTTAACAAGAGCCCTGTGTCATTGTCAGGCCTTTGTGTTTTAGCAGTGTTCCCATGTGTAACTGATGTCTATGCAGAACTGATCTCTGTAAAAGCCAACAGTCTGCTCATCTGTAGTCCCGAGGATCCACAGAATGGTGGCATCTTTTGCCTATTTTCACTTCTCTTTGTTTTTTTCTCTGTCACTCTTTTATTTTCCATTCTGTCTTTCACTTAACCTCTTCTGTCTTTCTGAATCTTTCTCTTCTCTTTCTTCCTGCCTCCCGTCTTTCTATGTATTTTCTTACTTCTTTATTTCCCACTTTCTCCTACTCTTTCTCCATTTTTACTCTGTTTTCATATTCTTCTTGTGTCCCCATTTGACCATCATTTAATCTCTGAGGAACTCCTTTCTGTGTATATATCTCTCTTCCTGCTGGGCTGTCTGCCCATCTATCTGTCTTCCTATCTATTTTCTACTTCTCTTTACTCATCTTTCTCTGACAGACAATGTGCCTGTGCCTCAGTTTCTTTCTTTTCCTAGCCATTACTCCATGCTTGTCTCCTTTCTTGTTCTCATTTTCTCAGATCCCCTCTCCTTTGGTTTATAGCTCTTACTTTCCCGTGCCTTTTGTAATACCTGTGATTATGTCCACATTTTAAAACTTCATGTCTTCTCAACATCTTCACCTCTTTCCATGATTCAAACATGGCAAGTTTCCTAAGAACTTCATTTTGTAACTGGCAACTCCCCACTCCATATACTCGTTGCCTCACTCTATCCTATGTTAGGGACAATTACACAAGTCTATTTATGTAATCTCCATAGTCTCTTTCTATAGAACCAACATGAAGGACCTGAAATGGGAATGCAGGGTCAGAACAGGGAGTGGCATGTCCTACTTAGATAGAATCTTTACAAAGTACAGGTTTCATGCAGACTGCATCTATGCTTTCTGATGTTTTCTTTGTTTTGTTTGAAAATACTTACCTAGCCCAATTTCCTCCAGCCTCTCTTTAGGAACTATGTAAGCATGAATGTATCCTAAACCCTTTTCTCCAAAAGCATACAATCTCTCTAGTAGATAATGAAACTTGTAATAACAATCAGTTATATCACAGATTTAAGCAATGTACTCACAAGATAAAGGAATTCAATCTTGTGGGAAGAGAAGGCTCTATAAATGAGACAGCAATAAGGTGTAGTGATAAGGACTTGTCCAGGGTCACTGCTATATCCCCAGGACATAGAACAGGGTCTACCACAAATTAACTATCCAATTAATAAAAATGTAATATTTATGTATATAAGTATGTATGTATTAATGAATGAATGAATTTAATCAGTTCTCAAGGTATCTTGGGATTTCATCAGGAAAAGAATTCAGAAATGAGTATCTTAGAAAGGAAAATGTGTTTAAGCACTCCAAGAGATGGGTGAGGATAAAATTTGTAAGACAATGCTGGAAATTGAAGATTTTTATAGCATTTTAAACTTCAGATTTTTGATTAAGGGTGTTGAATAATAACTTATGCCATATATGCAATCTACACTGCTCTGCAACCCTGAAACTCCTAAGTGGAGACACTTGTGTATTCCCAAGCATTTTGTGTAGCACATGCTGATCCATATTCTCTCTTCTGGGCTGACTCATCCTCCAGATGGGAGAAGCAGTAACTGATGGCCTGAATCTTTGGTTTCCCATAAGCCACAGGGAACTTTCTCACCCAGTAATTTCCTCTTCCTCATTTCCAGATTGCAGTCCTTGCAATGGAATGAGAATGTGGGAATGCAAAGGTCCAGATCTCTTGTTATCATCTGGGATGTCAATAAAGGTCCTCCCTAAAACTGAGCTCCCCATAGGATCAACTGAGACTTTATGTGGGTCTTTTGCCAAATCCTGACTTGGTCTCTTTGTAAAGATGCATCTCCCAAGAGGGGTCCCTAGTCATCCCCCTGTGTATAACTGCATTCCAGACTCTATTTTTATGACAACTGACATAAAATTCGGTTTTCAAAGAATGAGAAGCAGGAAACCAAGCAGTAGAAAATATAAGGATAAGGTAAATATGGTTGAATAGTGTATTAGTTAAGGTCCTCTAGAGGAACAGAAATGATAGGATGAATACATGAATAAATACATTTATATTAATAAATATATTCCATAAAATAACAGAAACTTTTGTCTGCTTACATACACACACACACATACACACACACACATACACGTGTATATCCAGGAAAGAGATTATGAAGAGCCATGGGGGCCAAGAAAACTGATATTCATATATATATATATATATATATATATATATATATATATATA